AGTTTATGAGCATGTGACCGGTACTTGTGTTCCTGCTGTCTCCAGAACTGGTATAACCCCCCTCCCCCGCCATCATCCCTATCCTAATTGATTTTTTAATTGTCCTTATTGCTTGCCAAGTGACAGTGGCTAAAAAGTTACTAAGTTAGTTTATAAATAGTTGTGGTTTAGGGTTTTTATTGTTTCCTTGTATAAAGTTGTGTAAATAATCAGCACTATGAACAATACCAGTGTTAATTCAACTGTTCCTAACCCCTGGGCAATTATTGGGAATTACTGTGATTTAGAAAAGCCTCAGGGAATTGTTTTGTGTTGTCTGGCAATCTGTTTAATTTTTGTTCTGATGATTGTCTGGCGCCATCAAAATAAAATCAGTTTCTGCTTTTTAAAACCCCCAGTTGTGGTCTCATCCTTTCCGGCATCCCTTCGAACCTCGTGTATTACGGGGACTGACAACACTGTATGTTCAAAAGCCTCGTTACACTGGTATTTCACTGTTAATACTTTTAATTAGTGTTGGAGCTTCTCACCTGAGAAGGGGCAGTCCAAAATTGGTGTGCTGTGTGAAAAAGGAAACTGAGGCACATCAATATATTGTTTTCATTGCTAAAAGCCAAGATGCGTTCACTATGGGGAATGAGGATACATACATTGTCCCAGTGTTAATTGGGTTTCAGAACATTGCCAAAGCTGGCATGGATACATTTAATTTCTTTAGTTCTGACCAAGGGCATTACTGTACTCACTAACGGGTGTTGGGTCCAAATTTTGTGTAACGGGGCCCATGTAAGGTATCTAATGAAAGCTGCTGATTCTATGTAAGATACTTGTGTACATGTGTGATGTTTATATATAAAGTGTTCTCATTAATCAACTTTCTCTCTCTTTTATTAATATATCTTTAGAGTTGAGATTCTAAAGGATTGGACCAGCGTGATCTTGTGGGTAAGAGCTAAAGTGAAAATTGGCCTGCAACTGTGGCTGAGTCCTTTGGACCAGGAGGATCTGTTTGGGGCTGGTGAGTATGGGTTTTACAACCTCTCACCTGTGTTTGAGGCCTAAGTCTGATGATGGCGCAAGGAAGCTGGAGTGTCTAAAGGGTTTTGCTGGTGAGGCTTCCTGCTGGCCAGGGTGGCAGCTGAAGTGCTTGGTGTAACTGGAGGGGTGCCTTAGGAAAGGACCCCAGTTGAGGGCAGTGAGTAGCCCTGGTTTTAAGCAATTCGCCCTCAGGTGATGCCCTCAGCAGTGCCAAGACCTGGCCTGGTGTATGACAGTGCTGTATTCAGTAGGATGCACAGAACCTGGTCAACTGAGCTTTGGCTCAGGACCCCACACTATTCTAAATTTGATTTGAGACTGAGAGTTTGATTGGTTAACGAGGCATTTCTGCATTCAATTACTTAGAACACTCTCTGTATGTCAGTTATGGTAATCCACAAATGTTGAAGGGGTTCTTTAATACTCATGCATTTGCTAGGAATATAAGGTGTGTACTTATTTACTGTGTTTTATCTCAGACCTCCACGAAGAAATCACAGCCAGTGTGGTCAGACTGTCCAGCACCATCTGTGATTTGGGGAGTGTGTCATGGTCACGAGACTGGGGACTAAGGGGTTAACTTACCCAACCCAGGCAGAGTTGGCCAATAGGAATGTAGGTAGGAATTTCAAACTGGGACAAAGGAATTTTTGGTTTTTCCCTCTCCTTTTGTCCCGGGCAGTTTCTCTCCAGCTATTGAAGGGGACAGAATTTCTCCCTCTAAGAAAAGGCTCTTCACGGTCTGTAAGTAGGATAAAGTTTAGATACATCTGTTAAGTTTTATTGTTTTATGGTTGTGGAATGGGAATCTGATGTCTGTGCACTTAAAAATGGGGTTTGCTCTCCTTTGTAACTAAGTTCCTGGCCCATGGTGAGTTTCTCCTCCATGAATATATTATTTTCTTATTTTTCCATCTAGTCATTATGCTTGCAACAAGAATATTGTGGTGATAATAAAAGTTCTTTCTCTTTTCTTTTTAATAACTTGGTATTGGTTAATTTTTGTGTTCTGGTTTGTACTTTAGGGGTGAGTTTTCCCAAGTGATTTCTCCCCTGATTTTCGTACCAATATTTGGGTGGTGGCAGTGGAATTTTTATCCCCAAAATCTAGGTTAAGATTTTGGAGGAAATTTTTTCCAAAGCCTGGAAAGAAGGTTTTGGGGTACTTTTGCTGGCCCCACTTCTGCATTTATAGTGCCAGAGTGGGGAAGGAGTTGTAACAGGTTGGGACAAGTCTCACTATACCTATGCCTGAGGAGCTGAGACACTAGCACCCTGCTCCTTTCACAATAAACCTGGCTGAGCACCTTAGCCTCCAAATGGAGCCTGGGTCTTTCTTTAGCGACAACCCTGAGCTGTGCTGCATGGACAAGCTGCACCAGAGCTCCAGAAAGGGGTGCCCTGAACAGTCATAATGGCACTGCAGTCACTATAGGAAGCAAAATTATCAGTCACAGCAGCACCTGGGAATTCTGGTGCAAATTAGGATCCATATGCTATTGGGGTGCTCATATGGAGCTAAGCATCACCCCTGTTTAGTGTAGGTATCCTTCCCCAGCCCTGTGCAACAGGGACACACTATAATAGCTAGTGCAGAGAGAAGCGACCTCACACAGAGAGTCTAAGGGACTTGATCAAGGTTACACAGGAAGTCTGTGACAGGGGCAGAGAACTGAACACCGGTCTCCTGAGCACAAAGCCAGACATTCACACAGGAAGAAAAAGTCCCTACCTGAAGATATTTCACTCTAAAAAAACCAACACAGATAATGTGATTTATCTCCACTGCACACAGAGGCAAGTGAGCCCCAGAGAGAATGAAGCTGAACTTTTGAAAGGAAGCCCAGCCTGTGCCTGAAATGCAAGGAGAGATCTGCCCATGTTTCTCTACTACAAAGCTACCCCTGAGAAAACTTAGAGCGTGAACTGCCTCATCCACCCTCCATCAGTCCCAGCACCCAGCCCTTCCCACTGGCAAAAACCAGCCTGTCACAGAGATTAGCCACAGGTAGGGAAGGACTCCAGAAACTGCACCCTCCTTCCAGCGGCTCAGCCCACTGCCACAAGGGGACCCTGCAGGCACTAACAGCCGC